ATTTTGCCACGTTTTATAAGGTTTCTGTAGTAAAACCGTTATTTATGGGTGGGGTGAAAACAAATTGTTCTAACTATAGGCCGATATCGGTTCTGAGTGCATTTGCTAAAATATATGAGCTTGTCTCAACTTGATGGACCATATCTCTGGGAGTATGGACGGTGGTAAATATATTGCAAACGTTTTTTTAGATTTTCTGAAAGCATTTGATTGTGTTGACCACAACATATTACTTTTAAAGTTAGGTAAGATCGCTGGCAACGTAAATATTGTGGCTTTCTTTATATCTCATTTGCAGGGCAGGGGACAAAAATTGAAAATTGGTGGCAAGTGTAGCAGCGGGGCTACTACTTTTAAAGGTGTTCCATAGGATTCCATTTTGGGACCAGATTTATTTAAAGTATATATTGACAATATCTCGAGTCTTAATTTAAGCGGGAATGTTCAGTTTTATGCTGATGGCGCCGTATTAAAGTATTCTGAGAGCAGTCAACTTGTCCTGGAACGCTGTATAAGACACGATTTGGACCTGATACATAAGTTTCTTGTAAATCTTTAATTTTAAATATAGGTAGAACTAAAATTTTATTATTTGAGAATTAAAACTATGATGACTTTATAATATCGTAAAAAAACCAAAATAATGAAATTGTTAAAACTTTGAATTATCTGGGTTTAATGTTAGACAGTAGATTGTGGTGGGAGACATGGGCATATTGATGTTGTTATAAAAATAATTAACCCATATATATTTATGATGAGGTATTGCGAAAGTTTTTTGATGGGGATGCAGTGAGTACGATTTACTCTGCTTATATTTTATCTAAAATTCGGTTTGGAGTAAATGCACAGAACAGTTTGAATAAATTAGATATTGTAAATAAGAAAGCTGTATGGATTGTCAAGAACCTTTCGATTGGGCATCCTACAACCATGTTGTACTCTAAAAATATTTGAATTTTTGAAGATATATACAGGCGGCTTTTAAAATTAAAAATAATAATATTAAGCATAACTTTATATTAAACTAATCGAGTGTTCTTGCATTGCAAGCCTTGCAAGTATTAAGTCTGTAGTTTCAAAATTGTCTTTCATTCTGTATGTGATATCTTAAGTTTACTTTTTCTCTTCAAAAACACACCTGTAATATATGTGAAAATTTTATTCACTAAGACGGTACTGCTCGAATCAGCTTCTTATAAAAATTTATTATGCTCTGGTTCACTCAAAATTAAAATATGGAATAACCAGTTGGGGTGGTACATACCACAACACGCTAGTTCCAGTAATTAAAGCACAAAAATGTATTATTCGGGTTATTCACTACAAGAGCAGTAACTTCAGCTGTTGTCCTCTATTTCAGGAACTAAAAATTCTTCCATTAAGGCATTTATTTGCATATAACTCTCTTCTGAAGCTATACAAGGATAGGAATAGCTTGGAATTAAGAATATCTAATTCTTACAATTTAAGAATAAATAATCTCAACTTGATCAATATGCCGACGTGCAACAAACCCCATTTTAAGAGGTTTTATTGCACTATGTCTATTAAATATTTCAATAAGCTTCCAGAACATATTAGAAACTCAAATTCAGTAAGCAAGTTTGCGAAACATAGTAAAGAATGGTTACTACAAACAAATTACTATGTTTTTGAATCTTTGACTTAATTTTGTTTTTATTTTTTCTAGAATCAAAATGTTGCGGAAATATCACAGTTTCTTTCAATCTTAATTTTGTGGAATCTATTTTTATTCATGGTAGATCAGTAGTTAATATTCGGCCAGATGTGAATGCAGGCAAAGTTCTTTTCTTTTGTACATCTTTTGATACGTTTAAAAACATGCTGTGAATTGATGGAACTTTTAATTAATGCAGACGTTTTTCATTTTAGTTTTAAAAAACGGGTTACTATTCCCCCTCTATATAGTATTACTAGAAGCTACAATTCAGTGTCTTTTGATTATATACTAAAATTGTCAGTTGAAGATATCAATGATTTTAAATGGGTTGTTTTCAATGAAATTTACTCTAAAATAAATTCGGCTAAATTGCAAATTCCTAAATACATCATTGATATGCATATTAAAAGAATTTCCGAAAAGGAAGATATTGAGACTTTTAAGAAAAGAACATCAATTTTGTACTTCGGATGCGAATATAAAGATGTTTATGATAATATTATTTGTAAAGAAATTTTGAATTACTTATGCTGTTCTACTTATCCATTATGTAAGTGAAGAAAGTAATACCCCCCCTAGTTTAAACCCCACAAATGTAGTATTATATTTTAAAAATACTTACTTGTTCTTTGTTAAGTTTGTTTTTCCCTAGGCTAAAATTTGAATTATACTAATTTAAGTATTTCGTATAATATAAATATTTAGATAAGTTAAAGTGTAATTTGAACATAGTTTAAGAATACAATATAAATTATACAACACTAGTGCGCCTTACACTATTGTATAGTTTCAACTTATCAATGTATATACAATTATTAGTTATTCGTTAGTTTTTAAGGCTTAATTGTATAAAACAACAAAAAATTGTATTAGATTGATAAAATAAAAAAAAAAAAAAAAAATAAAAAATTTGGGAATGATTATTATAAAATAAAAATGACGATTGAAATGATGATAAATTTGTGGCAGTTGAGTGACTAGAGATTGTAAGAGCCAGAGGAGCTGAATTGTAGTAGGTTGTAGGACTCGACGGGGTAGCAGCGTCGGAGTTGTAGCAGGTTGTTTTAATAGCATATTTTATATGTCAGAAAAGTTGAGTTGCAGCAGGTTCTAGGAGCCATAGGAAGAGCGTCGAAGTTGAAGCAAGAAGCGCCGGAGTTGTAACGGGAGTAGCAGCTGCTGTTGCTCCAAATTGAAATTTTTCTCTTTCTGATGAAAGTAAATTTTTCGTCATGAAAATGTGTGAGAATCGTTCTTTTTTCATAATAGTACTGATAATACAATTTTGTTTCGAGATAGGGAAATTAAAAAAATATTTTTTGAGGACTCTTTGACAAGGTCGGGTTACGGTCAAATATTTGATAATTGAAAAAAAATTTTAATTTTTTATAAAAAATAAGAGTTTTATTAAAACTGAATAATTGTAAAGAATGAGGGAATGAAAAAGTTGAATAATAGTATGATACAATACTAAGGTTAGGTACGCACATCTAAATATTGCTATTAAAAATTTATTTTTAAGTTTTGTTTTGAATTTGCAAACGTAAAAATTGCAAAAAAATTAACATAAAAGAAAAAATTTAAGCAACTACTCGTACATTAGTAAATTTTTTAAGAACGTATTTTCATTAACTCAAGAGAATAATTTTACAACACTTTCCGAAACTATTTTTGAAGCGACTCAATGTTGGAAGAAATTGTACATTCTTAAATTATTCGGAGTGTTGTTTAAGTTATTTATTTTTTATAATACTGATTTGGTAATAAAATTCAATGTTGGTAATCTATTTCTGGAACTGAACATATATTTTAGACCAGTAAAAGAAAGTAAAAGTCTATTAATTTATATTAATTAAATACTTAATATGAATATTATTATACCCGTACGAACGTATGTTCGAAGGGTATACTAAATTTGCCTTACCGTTTGTAACGCTAAGAAATAACGGTGTTAGATATAGACTCAAGTGTATGTTTTTGATCAGCGTCAAATTCTGAGTTGATTTAGCTTTGTCTGTCCGTCCGTCCGTCCGTCCGTCCGAACGATAACTCAAAAACTAATTGAGCTAAGTTCACCAAATTTTCACAAATGATTTATTGTAGTAAGTGCCAGAACCCTATTTAAATTGGACATGATCGGGGTACCGGTTCGGGTAGCTGCCATACAACTTCAAAATTTATTTGGCTATATCTCAGAAACTATAAAAGTTATGATATTGAAATTTCACACAAGCAAATATATTAGTAGGGCCAATATGCCCCATAAAAGTCGTTGAAATTACTTGGCTCCTTCTGGTACCTGCCATACAACTTCAAAAGTTATTTGGCTATATCTCAGAAACTATAAAAGCTGCGATATTGAGATTTCACACAAGTGAATATGTTATTAGGGCCGATATGTCTGGTAAAAGTCGTTGAAATCACTTGGCTCCTTCTGGTACCTGCCATACAACTTCAAAAGTTATTTGACTATATTTCAGAAACTATTAAAGCTATGGTATTGAAATTTCACACAAACGAATATATTAGTAGGGCCAATGTGTCTCAGAAAAGTCGTTGAAATTACTTGGCTCCTTCTGGTACCTGCCATACAACTTCAAAAGTTATTTGACTATATCTTAGAAACTATAAAAGCTGTGATATTGAGATTTCACACAAGTGAGTATATTAGTAGGGCCGATGTGCTTGATAAAATTCGCTAAAATTTCTTGGCTCTCTCTGGTAGCTGCCATACAACATCAATAGTAGTTTGGCACAACCAGTATTTTGAATAACACATAGTACTGAAATTTTGCATAAATTAATATGGTAATATGGCAACTTAAAGTCATAGTCTGCCCCATAGTTAGTTATGGCTCATTAGTTATTTGCACATAGGATAACAATTTCGTACGGGTATCACAGAGTTGACAAGGTCAACTCTATTTTTTTTCTCGTTGAGTAATTAATTTTAAAGTAAAAATTATAATATAATTTTACCTTAAAATCAAGTACTTAATTCGAATTTTATTTGAATGATATTTTTACCAATTAGTATTAATGTTATCGAAAAAAAAGTAAATTAAGTAACTATTACGAAAACATGTTATACATATAATTCATTTTCGAAATTAAGTTTGCTTTAAAATAGATATCTCATCAAGTTACTACGCAGGTAATTAATCAAGTTTGAAAAAATATAATATGGAAGTTATGTGAGGGTTGGAAAATCTTTTGAAGAAAAAAATCTTTCCATGCAGATCAATATTCCTTTTATTAAAGTGCGTTGCTTTTTTTTATATGTGATTTAACATATATTTAAATTTTTTAATTGCAGAGCACATTTTATACTTCTTCAATTGCAAATATCAACAACAGAAGTATTTTGTCAGAGCCTTGGTATCAGTGTAACTTAGAATTAGTTACTTGCTCTGAATGTGTAATTCGAATAACATTTACATATTCCAATTTTTCGAAAACGTGTCAACCAGTAGTGAGCAGTAATGATGGGACGTTACACAATAAATGCTTTTGTGAACATATAACTTTTTCTGAGCCACCTTATGATGTCGCGATATCTGGTAAAAAGTTTTGTGGTGAAGATAAAGTTTTTCGGAGTACAACTCGCTCAGTCTTATTACAATTTTTCTTTCAAGCTACTTACATTCATATTTTTTCTCTACAGTACTTTTCCGAGAGTAAGTAAATATTTTATTAACCTACTTATTTAATTTTTCGGATTTTTCAAATACTAAAGTAAAAAATATCTGCGTTCATCTGTTTATGCATGTGAATGTTATGAATGTATTTTAGCTTGTTGTTAAAAAAGAAACATTTTTTAATCCAGGAAATGTCAATGTTATAAGTGGATCACCTCGAATACAAAATGTACAGAAGAATTCGACTAAAAGTCGCAACTGTGTGATAACAACCCCTTACTTTCCTGTTCCATATCCAAGAGATTATGGCGTTGAACACATATTAACTTGTGAAACTGAAGATTGCCATGTCAAATTAGAATTTTCAGATTTTCAACTAGGAATGATATCAACAATGATGGTTAAAAAACTTTTGAATTTGTTGTTAAGAAACACTGTTTTTTTTTTAATTTTGCACAGGTTTTTGATTCAAATGGCCAAATGTTGGATTCATATAATGGTGAAATTTTCCGACCACCCGTTATTATGAGCAGTGGAAAATCTCTACTACTTCAATTTCGTGGTAATGGGGTAACCGGAGTAGGATTCAGAGCAGCGATATCATTTATTTCCGATATTGAATACAATGATAAACTAATACTTCCAAATACAGGTATTAATAGTATGAGTTAAAATATTCATATATTTTTTTGATAACAAATCATTCAAATTGATTCATGAAAATATTATCCTCTTTTCTCATTAATAAATCTTTTGCATTTAAGTACAAACGATAAACAAAGAAATTGAATTGATGATTGATATGATAGATCACATATATTGATATAAATGGTGATAGTTTATATAAATTTTTTTTTATTTTAAAAATCTTGACTATTAACGCTTTCTAATCGTCATGAACATGGCATCTCCCAATTTCCGAAAATGACAAATTTAAACTTCTTTTTCAAAAGTGTCAGGTTCTGCACCAAAAAGCCAAAACAAAATGAAAAAAATTGAAAATAGCAAACAGAAAAGTGAAAACAGTATACATTTCTAAAAAGGATTTCGTTTATTTCGATTATAAACGATTTTTTTGAACAAATCAGAAATTAGTTTGTGAGGTAAGGATTATCTGTGATCTTCTACCAAGTCTTAGAAATGAATGTGGACTCTGAACTTCTGTAATATTCTTTTACCATCTCTGCTTGCTCTGTTTAGTCTGTGTGACTACAGCCGATGAGTTATTACCGGCACTTACAGTAACTGCAATAGAGCTTTATGAATGGCAGCTTGGACTTTTATGGCAACTTTCATTTCGTGCCAAGGCTTTTTGCTGCTAGCTTCAGATTTCATTTCTAGACTTGCGTTCTGACATTTCTCAGTGTTTTGTTTTCAAAAATACATTTCCCGAAATTTCTTCCAGCTAGTTATGCATTCTGATTCAATGGTTTTTTGGTTGTTGTATTTATTTTGTCATTTCTATTTCCGTGAGGTGCTTAGCAGTGTAGCCAATCGCCCTAGATTGATTATAGAGAACCGTCACCCCAGATTTTTTCTGTGGCTGCAGTCATTTTGCTTTTGAGCACGGTTGGGCCTATACCTTCATCCATGAAGCTTATTAAAATAAGGAATGATTGCTTACAATAACACAGAAAGGTGAAGGAAATGGTTGATTAACTTTTTCTATCAAGCCACATATTGGGATGAATTGTTTTTTTTTCTATCAGGCCACATATTCGGATGAATAATAATAATAATAATGATAATAATAATAATAATAATAATAATAATAATAACAATAATAATGATAATATTAATAATAATAATACTCATAATAACAATAACAATAACAATAATAATAATAATAATATTAATATTGATAATAATAACAATATTAATAATAATAATAATAGTAACAATAATAAGAATGATAATTAATAGTAATTTTAATATTAATAATAATAATGATAATAATAATAATCATATATTAATAATAATAATAATAAAAATAATAAAAATAAAAATAATAATAATAATAATGATAATAATAATAACAATGATCAAAATAAAAATAATAATTATAACAATAATAATAATGATAATAAGAAAAATAATAATTATAATAACAATAATAATAATAAAAATAATAATAATAGTAATTATAATAAAAATTATTATAATAATAATAATAATAATAATAATAATAATAATAGTTTTTATTTTATTTTATTTTCCATGTTTAGTTCAAACATTTACCATTACTTAACTTACGTATGTACGTACAATTACCTAACTTAATTTAGAAATTAGACAAAAATAGGATGCATTTTATACTTAGATTATTTTATATTTACTTAAAAATAATCAAATAACAAGATTGTTAGTTGGCAATAAGTTTAACTCCTAAATACTTAAGAAAAACAAAACAAAACATTGCAAAGTCAGTAAATTATTAATGTAGGTCTGTAAATTATTCAAATAAATAAAATATTATATATGACATTTACACCTGTAACAAATACGTTATTATATTAGTGTATTACGTTACTGTACAGCTAACGTAATTTTTTGAAAAGGGTGTTCTTAAGTTGAATTTTCGTTAACGCTAACTCTTCACGCAAAATGTTTTCTTTTACAACATTGCACATTCTAGAAATAGGTTCATTCTTCCAATAGTTAGTGCGATGATAAGACAATTTGAAAATTTTATTATTCCAAAAACGCCTAACACTGATTAAGTGAGAATCTAAGATATTTTTAGCATACTCAAAGTTAATTCGACACATAAACAGCTGGAAAATAAACAAAATATCTGAAAAACTTCCTTGATTTTCTAGGGTTTTCGTTTGAAGTAACAATAATCTGTTTCGCTTACAAAAATAGCTGTCAAAATGGACTTCTACAGTAGGCCAATTACCTGCTTAGACAGTTTAAATAGATTAATCGCGAAATTAGACATAGCCTCGGAAACAGGGATGATTTCACGGTAACGAACATTAGAACAGTCCTTGTGCTACTCTTGTCCTTATTCGTGCAAGAGTAACAAATGAATCTCTACAAAATTGACATCCTGGGAATAAGTGAAATGAGGTGGAATGGTCATGGCGAGTCGATTACAGCAAGTGGCAATACCGTTATACATAGTGGAAAAGACACGGGTGGTGAAAGTGGTGTGGGTATAATCATCAACCGAAAACTTAAATCGACTTTGAAGAGCTGGAACCCAATTTCTAATCGGATTATTCAGGCCCGTTTCCGCAGTAAAGTCCGATACATCATTATCATCCAATGCTATGCGCCGACAGAAGAAGCCGATGACGAAAAGAAGGATGATATAGAACTCTGCCAGACCTTCGAACTCAGCATCTGCGGTGCCATCTTCCCTAACAAAGATATACATAAATATACGTGGTCCTCGCCAAACGGGAAGACAAGAAACCAAATCGATCACATGTGTATCAGCCGAAGATGGAGAAAATACATGTTAGATGTGAGAAATAGAAGAGGAGCAGATATAGATAGTGATCCTGAGCTGCTGACAGGCGATATCAGGCTGAAAATGGAAAGAAAAAGGCACTATAACAACAGAAACAAACATTTCAATATACAGAAATTCCAGAACTCCCAAAATGCTTGCAGATATACCAGTAGACTGCTTGAAAAGTTACCACTTGACCAAGAACACCCGTGTGAAGAAATTGTGACTAAGATTCAAGAGACTGCCGAAGAAACACTAGGTAGAAAACAAATACAACGAAAAACATGGTTCTCTGACGAGACTTGGGACCTCATCAATAAAAGGAGAAATGCTAAGCAACTAGCGACCAATGAAAACAACAACAAGTCTCCACAGTACCAGAGCTTAGCAAAACAAGTAAAGAAGGCTGCTAGAAGAGACAAACGGAGATATCTCGAAAGGATGGTGTCCCAAGAGTAGCAACACGCCAACCAGAACAACATACGTGGCTTGCACCGAATAATTAATAATCTCACCGGGCAAAAAGAAAACACAACCCGCCCTGTCAGAGACCGTAGCGGTAACCTAATGACAAATGAAGAGGCCCAGATAGAAATATGGAAATAGCACTTCGAAACAATTAGCAACGTAACACATACGACCAGCGAAGAAGTGCATGATAGTAACCCAGTCAGTAGACAAACAAACTTAAGAATTTCTGAAGATCCCGCAAATATTAGCGAAATAAAAACAGTCATACGAAAACTCAAACATAACAGGGCTGCAGGCAGTGATGGCATAACAGCGGAATTACTTCAGGCAGACGCACTAACTATGGCCCAGCTGTTAGAACCACATATTTCGCAAGCTTGGAAGGAAGAAAGGGTTGCGCAGTCATGGAAAAAGGGCCTTATCTTCAAATTACCAAAAAAGGGCAACTTAACTTACTGTGATAATTGGAGAGGCATCACACAACTTAACATTGCATACAAAGTCTTGGCAACAATTATCCAGAATCGCTTAAGGGAAAAACTAGAGGAAACAATACGTGAAGAACAGGCTGGGTTGCGCCCGCATCGGAGTTGTGTCGATCAATCAAATACGCTTCGAATCATAGTCGAACAATCAATAGAGTACAGAACACCATTATACATGCTCATAGACTTCAAGAAGGCTTTCGACACAATTAAACGCGATGCAATATGTTACGCGATTAAACGCGAAAAGTAGGGGAACCCCAGACAAAATAATCCACTTGATCCAAGCACTGTACGATGAAGCCGAGCTCACAGTATTACACCGAGGGAAAATAAGCGAATCCTTCACCACCCAGTCAGCAGTCAAACAAGGTTGCCCACTTTCACCGCTGCTCTTCACAATCTTGCTAGATAACATCTTGCAACTTGTTTGCTCACAGAGAAGGGGGCATAATCTGGAGTCTCACTCAACATCTCGAGGATCTAGATTATGCAGATGACATCTGCCTTCCGTCCCACAAGATCAGCAACATGCAGAGCAAATTAAAACACCTTGAAAAACTTGCCAAACTTGTAGGGTTAGAAATAAACATAGACAAAACAAAGGCGATGAAAATAAACTCTACTAGCACAGTCAGTCTGAAACTCAATAACCAACAAATAGAGTTCGTTAGCAGCTTCTGCTACCTGGGCAGCATCATAACACTTGAGGGCGGGGCCCAAGAAGATATAGACAACAGACTGAAGAAAGCAAGAGCGCCGTTCGTTAGACTGCAGCCAATATGGAAAAGTAGCCAGATATCCAGAACGACTAAGGTTAGAATACTCCGGTCTTGTGTGAAATCGGTTCTGTCAAAATCTACCAGTCAAAAGTTGCAAGTATTCATCAATAGATGCCTCAGAATAATATGCCGCATATTCTGGCCAAGACAGATAACCAACAAAGACCTCTGGATAATAACAGGCGAAGAACCTATCGGAACGCAAATAAGAAGAAGAAAGTGGAAATGGATTGGGCACACTCTAAGAAAAGCGGCCAATAATATCGCTAAAATGAGCTGGACGCCCCTGAAACACCTGGCGTAGATCTGTAAAATCAGAACTAGAAAAGACAGTTCTAACATGGAGTCAAGTCAAGCAAATAGCCCAAAATAGAACAAGATGGAGATGTCAGGTGGAAGCCCTATGCTCCCAAGAGGAGAAAGGAGAAAACAAAAAATGGTGCGAGAGGGTTTT